TTTACACACTAACTATACATATACTCTGATTCATGTCCAGAAATCTGTAGGTATTCAGAACAAAATTTTGTCCCTAATATCAATGTTATTACTTGAAAAAACTTGATGAACTCGCCGGTTTTTACCGATCTGGAAATACTTTTAGACCGGCCGGTGACTGGCCGGACCGGACCGGTCTAGTATTTCCAGACCGGTTACAACTCTGTAATGCACCTCTTTAGCAACTGTCATAAATGGAGAAAATTGAAGTCTGAAAAATCACCAATGGTCAAATATTATGATTATGTGTTAAGTTCTTTGGTGAATCCATTATTTACGTTATATTTAGCAACGAGAACGAATAATTTTTTCGACAGAACGGCACAATGGTGTTGTTTCATACCATTTTTTTTCCTCGTTCGACCACGTTAACGACGCACGGCTGTCATCTCATCCTATTAACAGATAGAACCAACAACAGTTAGATTATCACAAAAGCAGACACACACCTTCATCAGGCCGCAGAACAAAACTGAATCCGAAAAAAGGAAAAAACGGACGATCTTTAACAATACAAATTGTTTTATCGTTATTTTCTTTATTTGATTTTTCTAGTTTTTACAAATTGGAAACTAAATACAAAGAAACTAAATGAGGAGCTTTACATGCATTCATTCTAACACTCGATTCCTGATGTCCAAGGACTTTGATCAATGCATCGATCACTTCCTTGGTTGCTTTTTTTTTCGCCCATTTTCCCGAGAGCATGACATGCGATCCACCTGACACTCCAATCCTGAGCTCCAAGTGCTTCCAGCAACGCATCGATCATTTCCCTGGTTGCTGCTTTTTCGCCCATTTTCCCGAGAGCACGACATGCATTCGAGCTCACACTCGAATCCTGATCTCTAAGTGCATTCACGAGCGCATCGATCATGTCCTTGGTTGCTGCTTTTTCGCCCATTTTCCCGAGAGCTTTACATGCATTGATTCTCGCATTCGAATCCTGATCTCCAAGTGCTTCGACCAGCGCATCGATCATGTGCTTCGTTGCTGCATCTTGGCACATTTTCTCGAGAGCTTTACACGCATTCATTATGACAATCGAATCCTGATCTCCAAGTGCTTTCACCAGTGCATCGATCACGTCCTTGGTTGCTGCATCTGGGCCCATTTTCTCGAGAGCTTTACATGCATTCATTCTGACACTCGAATCCTGAGCTCCAATTGCTTCCACGCATCGATCACGTCCTTGGTTGCTGCGTTTTCGCCCATGTTCGCGATAGCTGAACATGCTGTAAGCGTCTGCTTACACTAGCAGTGAAAAAACCACTCAGAAAAAACACTGCTTCTCCCTTTACGACTGCGCAAAATATGCGACCGTACTGTGATGTAAACTAAATGTGTATATATTTTAAAAATAATAAAACTTGATTTGTTTTTGATATTCTGGTTTTCGCACGTGCTCAACAACATACGTTTTCGGTCCCAATTGTTTCTGCACCCGAAACGGACCTTCATTACGCACAGAAAACTTATTTCTCGCCGCTGTTGTTTTGACAAGAACTAAGTCTCCTATTGAATATGTTGGATTACTTCGATTTAAATCGTACTTCTCCTTGTATTTTCGTTGACTGTTGAGGACAATTCGTTTCATATCCTGGGTTAGAGACGAAATGTAGTCCTTCGCATACTGTAAATATTCGTCCCTTTCCATTGTCGATACAACTGAGGACTGAGGATCGAATGGTAGGACAGGTTTTCTGCCATACATTAACTCAAATGGAATGTGTTTGGTGGTGGCGTGTACGCTGGTATTATAGATAAATGTAACAAAAGATAACTGTTCATGCCAGTTTGTTTTTCGTTCATTAGCTAGCACCGCGATTTTCGCATCCATTGTTGCATTAAATCGTTCTATTTGACCATTTGTCTGAGGATGATAAGGTGTTGAATAAAGATGTGTCGCCCCAATGCTTTTTAATAGGTTGTTAAACATCATTGCTGTGAAATGTGATCCATTGTCCGTTAGTATACATCGGGGTGTCCCGTATTTAGTGATTACTTCCTGCTGAAGAAATTCTGCAGCCGTTTTTGCACTGTTGTCGCGCACGGCTTTAGCAATAACAAATTTAGACATAATATCGGTGATAGATATAATATACTTATGTCCTCTCGCCGATGATGGGATAATTGGACCGTGATAATCCATCGCTAATAGCTGCCAGACACCCTCCGGTGGTTTAATCGGCTTTAGTGCTCCATCACACTTTCGTCTTGAATGATTGTACTGAAGACAGGGAAGACAGGATTTCACATGATTTTTTGTATCACGATGCAATGACGGCCAAAAATATCGTTCCTGAATTCGTTTCAGTGTTTTGTCACGCCCAAAATGGGCTCCATTAGCCGGAGTATCATGATAGGCTTTCAGAATAGATACTCGAAGTTTACCTGCTGGTACGAATGGGACAGAAAGTTTGGGTTTTTGTCGGCGCATGAGTAGCTCATCTTTTAAAAAATAGAGTTGTTTATATTTAGGCGTTTTTAACTGTTCAATTATCTGTTTTACTTCTTCATCATTTTGTTGATATCGCCGAAGATCATCGTAATTAAAAACAGTGATTTTTTCTTCTTGTGGAATAGGGTCGGACTGATGATCCTGGACTAGCTGCGAAACCGCATTAACCTTTTGTGTCGTGGTCGTACCATCTGAAAATGTTTGTCGCGCGGCTTGAGCTCTCGTTGTAACTGCCAAAATCATATTTGCTTGAGCTGAGGATGCCGAATAGTTTGTCGGCTGATCATCTGTCACATGATCCGCCGTATCCGTCTGTGTCGACTTAGATTGTCTTTCATTTTCATCATACTCTTCTTTAGCTGGTTCGACTG